TTTAGTTGGATGCTGGTACCTGTCCACCCCCCAGCCACTCTCATCCCCACACTTTTATAAAGCAGACCACCCTGCTTTCTGTAACCCAATGCAATGGCACTTTTGACCTCCACTAGCTGTGAAGTTTTCTTGGGTTACAACAAGAAAAAAGGTTACACTCACATCACGCTGTTAATGAGGCCAAGCACAACAGCAGCCACATGGTAAAGCTATTGGTTTTTCTTTCAACCTTCAAATAAATAGCTACTTATATCTCCTAATACTTCTTTCATAACCGAACTCCATCTGTATGGGCTCATTGCTGGAGCTGGTGCTCTCCACAGTGATACAGTGGATGTGTCCTAAAGCAAGACAGCAGTACATAAAAACTAAAACTAGCCTTGAAATGAAGCCTCTGATTTTAAAGCCCTATCGATGACCATAGCAGAACCACTACAAATTAATGTAGTTTATTTCATTAACTACACGATATTAATACAAAATGTTGGGTTTTCCTTACTGAGACAGAGAAAAAAATAGCACTGTTCAAATTACCTTTATTCCAAAAGAGCATTAAGGCAGTTAACATCTGCAAGAATTGCAAAGATCAGCTTGTTTTCTTGAATTTTGTTTTCTCACTCAAAAGACAGAGAGACAAAAGCTTCTTCTGCTGAAAATCTTTAGCACTGAGAAATAACAATACATTCCAAGATCTTCACAGATACTCTTGTTAGAGGCTATTTTTAGAAAAAAATCAGCATAAATTAAGCTGAATCGAGCTTATTATTACGAAAAAAATTAGACACCCCTGTTCAGTGGTACTTGTTACACGGTGTGACTAGAGACTACTTGCTGAGACTGTGAAAAAATTTGTATGCACACTTTTGTAGGTTCCACCTTTCAGGTAATTCAATTTGAGCAGATCTGGTAAGTGCATCAGGATTTTGAAGAATATTACAGTACCTTGTACCTCGCTGCTGGGAGTTCAGTTAATAGTTCAACTGTAGCATTTGGTTTTAGTGAAGTACATATTGATCTGAGAAAAGGCTTTTGTAATACAGGATTAATACCTTAGTAAGAATTTGATATGGAAATGCATGAAACATGCAGAGGGATCATCTCATGTGAAGTCAGTGGTAAGGGCTGAATGCCAGCTAAAATTAGGTGCTAAACGTTGTGAAATAATGTCAGGTTTATGTAGCCATTACACGAAGAGAATTAAATGAGTAACCAAATAATAGCAATGTAGATTAAAAGTTGTCCTTCCGGAAGTACAAATGTTTTCTTCCTGTTTTCCTCCTGCAAATATATTGACACAG